TTTTTTTTTTTATTATGTGTGTGTGTTTTATTTTTAAATGTCTGTATAGTATTTGTTAATTTTTTTTTTTTAGAAGTTTTAGTTTATTTAGTTTGTTGTTTAGTATTTAAACTAAAACTAAATGAAAATGAGAAATGTTGCCCTGGCAACTAGATATTTCATATTTTATAGATAATATAGATATTTGTAATATATAAATATTTAATTAATAAATAAATACAAAATTGAAACAATATAATATATAATATATAAAGATACAAATATTTTATTTCAGTTAACGTTTATTTTATTTCAAGTGTGTTTTTATGGTTTTAATTTTAGTTAACAATAACCCTGACTAGGGGCTGAGGTGGGTAAGAGCAGGCATTATTTAGTCTGGCTTTTATGCAGCATTACATCTTCACATTGAATTTTAAGCAGGTACAAAGCAGCTTTAACTCAAATGTGTAAAGACACTTTAATGTTTGAACTAACTGAATTGAATGAACATTGAACTCGCTTTACAGACTATAACTGAACTGCATTGAATCAGCATTGAACTAAATCGATCTGAATAATAGCACTATTGTCTTCCATACAGCTGCTTCATGGTTGAATTGAATTTGAATTTATTCACAAATGATGAACTTTGCAACATCAACACTGTGATGCACTGAATCAACATTATATAATATATAAAGATACAAATATTTTATTTCAGTTAACATTTATTTTATTTCAAGTGTGTTTTTATGGTTTTAATTTTAGTTAACAATAACCCTGACTAGGGGCTGAGGTGGGTAAGAGCAGGCATTATTTAGTCTGGCTTTTATGCAGCATTACATCTTCACATTGAATTTTAAGCAGGTACAAAGCAGCTTTAACTCAAATGTGTAAAGACACTTTAATGTTTGAACTAACTGAATTGAATGAACATTGAACTCGCTTTACAGACTATAACTGAACTGCATTGAATCAGCATTGAACTAAATCGATCTGAATAATAGCACTATTGTCTTCCATACAGCTGCTTCATGGTTGAATTGAATTTGAATTTATTCACAAATGATGAACTTTGCAACATCAACACTGTGATGCACTGAATCAACATTAAGCTGAATCGATATATTTATCAATTTCATAATTATGAATTTTGCAAAGCTGCTTTGAATCAATCTGTATTGTGTGAAGTGCAATATAAACGAATGTGACTTGACTTACTTGAAATTAAACATGCATTTAATATTAATCTCTTTGTTGGAAAGCCAACATTTTACAGTTGGCAGATGCTTTTATCTTTGCATTGAAGTTGCACAATTAATTTCATGCATTCCCTGCGAATCAAACCCATGAGAAAACTAATTCACAAGGTGGTGGTTCTTCTTCACGTTTACCTCTATGGTCCTGTAGAAGGGATCCAGAAGGATCTTTGCAAGGGCCACGATCTGCGGCGTCCGGTCCCAGCCATCTGAGCAGTGCACCAGCACCGGCCTTCCCTCCCGCTCCACCGCAGAGCACACCAGAGACGCGGCCTTCAGCATGACAGACAGATGCTGCAGCCAACGGGTGCTTTCCAGAGCCGAGAGCCAGCTGGAGAGAGCAGACGCACCAGTCGGGTTACAAACGTCTGAACGCAACACGACAGACACACACTGCATGAGGAGGAAGAGCTCAAATAACTTCAGATGTTTGATCTGGATCACCAAGCAGAACACAAGTGTGTGTTTCCTGGAAAATCAGGAACACGCTTTACCTTGAGCCTTTATATATATATAATGCATTCTAAAATAATTTTAATGCAATAGCTATGCACCTTGTAATGCATTGCATGATCTCATTAATAATGGTAACCACTAGTGTTGGGCGGTATGACCAAAAATTTATATCACGGTATTTTTCAAAATTATACCGGTTTCACGGTACATGACGGTATTTTTTTTCATGCATGACCGGGTGTTAACCATATTTTCTACTGATTGAGAGAGGAAATACTGCAGTATAGACCCCTTTCAAACAGTGTCGCGTTCCGAACGTTGTTTAAGCAACATACTCGCTGCTGTATGACGGTATTTCAAAAATTCATATCGTAACAAAAATAAACACCGGTATTCGGTATGAACCGGTATACCGCCCAGCACTAGTAACCACAGTTATAATACATATCTTTTCATTGAGCGCATTTACATGTACGTTCTTAAACCGATTATGCTTAATAAGCTGAAAAACGCACTTGGTCATATAAACGCGGTAACCCGTTTTCTTTTATCTTATTGGAGTGCGTATGTGTGTTACGTGACTGGAAAGCATAACCGCATCTAGACAGAGCAAACGTCTTGCAGTAAAGAAAGAAGGAAATATATCACAAAAGCTTTTTCATGACTCAGAAAATGATAAAAATGTGTTCTCATCTCGTGCAGTAGATTTTAATAAGCTGATATTTGTGAGTTATCAGCTTACTGGTCTGCATGTAAACGTGCTCATTGTTACACCTTTAGAAATGCATTAAAACACGTGACAAACAACCGATTTTAGAGGTAACAAGGAATTTGCAATTATAATGCATTTTCACTTTGGTTACAATTTTTTAAGAAAATAATGCATTATGCATAAAGGCATCAAGTAAAGAGTTACTTTCTGTGAAAAGTTCTGTGTACTGTGATCAGCTTATGTTTAAATGCAAAATGCATATACAACAAATCAATACCTATGTATACATAAATACATATAAATATCCATATAATATACAAATACGCTTTTTGTAATTAATGTAATGTCTATTCAATGCTTCACTGATCAGCCACTATATTGCAATGTTTTTAAATGATCTTCATTTAGAGGCTTTTTTCAGCTGATATTAATATGAGATTAATTGTGCAAAAAAAAACAACAACTGCTAGTCATGCTTCAGATAAAGCAGCAAAATTGAATCCAAATCAAACCAGAATCCACTGGAAATAATATCTCATTTAGTCTCATTCACAAAACTTTGAAGTTGATTTACCTGGAGATTGATACTGATTTATAATTAATAATAATAATATTAAAAGCAATATTATTTTATTTTTAATATGAATAATATTGCGATAATATTTATTTTATTTTTATGGTGGCAAAATACCAATATCAATATCACAATATCAAGAGCAATAAACGATAACAATGATTTAAAACATATAAAATATTTAAATATATAGATATAATTCTATGTATGTGTACTGTGTATATTTATTATGTATATATAAATACAAACACATGCATGTAGGTATTTTGATCATATTTACATATATATACATTTATATATATTTATGTTCTTATATTTTATATTATAAATATATTTAATATATAAACATAACATTTTTCTTAAATACATACATGCATGTGTATATATTTATACATACATAATTAATATACATAGTATACACGCATATATTATGTAAAGAAAAACTTTTATTTTGAATGCGATTAATCGTTTGACAGCACGCATATATATATATATTGTCAAACGCATGGAGACTGACTTACTTGCCAGGATCCGGGATCTGACTGCAAACGGCTCTGAGTGACTGAAAGCTGTTTCTGATGGAGTGGATATTGGCCATGCCCATAAACATCACCTCACAGTTGGGATAGTACTCTACAAACACAAATAAA